CTCAACAGTCTATATATTGGAGAGTTTACGTTGAAAAAGGTGATAGTCGAGCTTGAAACGCGATACAAGAACGTGATTTCACGTTTCCGCGGTTCGGTTATTGTTTTTTTTCGATTGTTGCTCTTAATTTTTTGTGCACTTTGACAAAATGGAGAATAATATTAAAAAAAAGCGCAAGCCTTCTCTTTTACGCAGGTATGAATTAATTAATTAATTCTGATTGATTTTTGTTTGTCATTTTTTTGGGTGAAGAATTTTTATTTAAAGTTATTTTTAATTTTAATAATTTTCTTTAGAATATTATTGTGAATTATTTTTTAATTTATTTGTTAATTAATTACTTAAAGACCGTGTAGTGCTCGTGAGTTACTTTAAAGCTAACTGTTTATTTATTTTATAGACTCATTTTTAAATTAAATAGAAATAATTTATCAATTTTTAATAAATTTTTAATTATTTAAATATTTTTCTCTATTGAGAAATTTTTGATCAATTGTTATTTATTGATTAAAGGAAATTTAGTGGGTTTTTGTATAAAAATTCATGATTTATTTTTACGTATTAAAGAATTTTAACAAATACTTGAAATAATTTATCTTAAGTTTGTTTGTAAATTTTAATTATATTTTTTTAAAAAATTGAATCAAATTTTAATATTTTTTTTTCTCCACTTTTGTTATTATTAATTACTTTAATTAATTTACATTCAATAATTTTTGTAATTTTTTCAGGTACTTATGGAAATAAATAAAAATATAAATGTCATTTCTTTTTATTAAACATTAAAATTTATTTATTATATCAAACTAAAAAAAAAAAGTTATATATTATATCAAACTAAAAAAAAAAAATTATATTAATTTTAAAAATTTCTAAATACGCATTTTGTAATTTTTAAATGAATAAAATTTTTTTTTATTAATAATCTAAATAAAAGTTTTTGGAATGAATTTAAATTTGGAAATTTTAAATGAAAAAATTTTTTACCGGGTAAAATTATATGCTCTAGATTCTAGGCAAAAATTTTTCGGAATTTTATAAAAATAGTACATCGTAATACTGAAAATAAATAAGAAAAAAAATCTGACTCAGACTTTCTGAATAATTTCCTATGACAAAAAATTTAACTCAAAATTTATTAGACAAATATTCTAAAAATGTAACATATCTTAAAAAAGTAACCATTAATAATTTAAAATAAGTTTTTATTAAATCTCTTGAAGAATTAAAAAACAATAAAGCTTGAAAAAATTAAAGGTCAATAAATTTAAATAAAAAGATTAATTTTTCTTTCGAAAAAAAAACAAATTAAATCTTCAATACAAAAACTAAAAAAAAAAAACCCTATGAATAATTAATCGACGTAAAACCCCGAATATCTGATGACATCACGGGGATTATCGAAATTTAAAATTCCAATGTCGAATAATTGCCAGTCTAAATAAATTAAAATAATAATAAAACTATAAACTAAACTTATTTTGGGATCAAGAGTACATTCTAGCGTTGGAAGTAGAGGTCGAGGCAAAGAATCTAAGCACAAGTATAAATATATACCATATGCATATTTAATGGAAGTTTAACTTAGAGTCCATAAATAATACCACGCACGTGTATTTACATTTGTCGGTAATTGCAATAGCGTTATTTCCAATAAATGAGTGGCTTCTTTTTCTTAATAATAATAATAATAATAATTATTATTATTATTATTTATTATTTATCACACACTATAAGCGAATAGTGAATAGTGAACTTGCCTTTTTCCACCCGGAGAAAGGGAAATTCAACGACGCATGCTTCTTTAACATTATTCGTGGGTGAATCAGAACCAGAGCACAAACACGGAGGTTTCATGATCACAGACTCCACTCGTGCCACCAGGATCACATTTAAGATCCTCGCCGCAAGACTCTCGGTCATTGATCTATCTTCCCTTCAATATTGTGTCGCTATTAATTGTCAACACAAACGGTGCTCGCTTAATTGTTAACTTTTGCACTCAATTTTTCTTCACTCTAATTATTATCATTATTATTACAATTTAAATTTTTACTAACAAAATTTCCACGTCGGATCGAGCGACTTAAATCGATAGTGAGCTAAAAGTTTTGCCAGATGTCTTTTTTATGTGATAAATAGTGTCAATTAATTATTAATATTGTTACAATTTATTTCTAAGGATTCAAAAAAAATCGACTCGAAAAAAACGTGAGTTATCTCGAAAAATTAAATGAAATATTTTAATAAAATTTTAATGTCAGTAAAAAATAGTTTAACGACTTTTGTTTTATTACTAAACTCCATTAGACGTTTCTTGACCCTCTGTTATATTCTCTTTATTTCTTCCTCTTTCTCTTCTCTTCATTTTTACTTAATATAATATAATAGTTCTTCTTGTTCTTCATCCTCGTAACGGGGGATGAATAATATTCCATGAATGAAAGCTTTTACTGATTCATCACATAACACAAACATATATAATGTACTTGCGGTGGAAATAATTTTAGGATTGATGCCAAATATTTTACGGAGTTTATTTAATAACTTTACCTTTAAATTGTATCGAGCTATTTTTAAAATTTACTCCATTTTTTATTATTTACTACACTTTATTTATACTACTGTTTTGTTCATAAAATATTCATTTTAAATAAGTAAAATATTTATAGTCCCAGGAAAAAATATGTATATTTTTTAATCGAATATAATCGTAAAAAAATATTTTAAATAATAGCAAATAAAATTTCGGAAAATAAAGTCGGTATGTCTGGAATTAATGTCAGTTTTTATGATCAAAAAGTCGAGACGTCTTAAAAAAAATTATCCTGTTACGAGATTTAATATTTTACGTATTAATAAAAATATCTTCAAGCAGGTCGTAAAAACAAAAATATTGAGTGCATTTTTTTTAAATATCTTCCTGTGAGAGCTTGAAAAAAAATAAAAAAAAAACAATCTGAAGAATTTTGCAAGGAAAGATTAATTTTGTTTTATTGTTAGTGAAAAATATGAGCGCACTTAATTAAAATTCTAGTTGTTGAATCTTAACTATTAACTAATAATAACTTGTTCAATGGTTTTTATTCTATTAAAAATTAAGTTATAAAAGAGATTTATTAAGAAATAATTTTTTGTCCAAAAAAATTTTGCTTCATTTAAAAATTTGAAGTTTTTTATTTTTTAATAGTTTAATTTTTTCTAATATATATCTTAAGACTTTAATATCTTAAGAATTTAAAATAAATTTCAATAAAGCACAGACCACAAGTAATGAGACTATTTCCGTGCAAAAAAATTTTAATGTTATATGACGAACTTAATCCTTAAATTGATAATTAAAAAAAAAATATTTATAATAAATTTTTTTAATTTTCTTGCAAAAATTTTGAAAAAAATATTAAATTTTTTGGATAATTTTTTTTAGATTTTTTTCAGTACGTTAATTAAATTGTCTTTGAAATTAATTAGACCCAAAATTTGTGTATCTAAATGTTCATTATAAAAAAAAAATTACGTTATAATAAAGATTCGCTAACAAAAAAAATTTTGACATCTTTTCCACAACAAAAAATGATTCATATCTTTATAAAAGTCCGCGCATTATACTTAATACACTTTCATATACATACTCTAACAAAACAGTGTTAGAATTTGATGTTGATGTATTTGACTCTCAACTTCCTGACCAAGTAATTTTTCGTCATCGATCGATCGGTATCTTAGACAAAAGTACAAAAGAGAATACGCCCCTTACCATATAAATCTTTAATATAAATTCATACTTGTACTTCAGTATAATATTTTCTCTCTTTTTTTTTCACCTACTTCTCATCTATTTATATTTTTTTTATTACAGCCACAGTCATCTCATCTTTTTATAGATAAAAGTTACATCAATGCGTACACATATCAAGTAAAGAAAATATTTATGGTCTTGTCTTGCATTACCCTAATTTTTTGTAATATTTTGAGAGATCTTGCCCTATTAATCCAGACGGCTCTTATGTTTTTATTTTTTTTTTTCTAATTAAATTTATTGCGTTAAAGGGAAATTTATCTGCCGCTATTTAATTATAAATTTCAAGTTTAATTTAATGATTAAAATTATCGATAAGCTGTTTATTTTGGCAAACATTTTACTTAAATATTGCTTAACTTCCTGGGTATTTTATACCAATATTTTTATTAACAAAAATTAATTATAATTCAAAATAATATTTATTAATTCTTATAATTTTTTTTAGGACCAATAAGAAAGCCGTAATATAAAAATTAATAAAAAAAAAAACTTAATTTTATTTAATTCCGATAAAATTATTGAATGTTTTTAATATTGTTTTATTTTCTTAAATCAGAATAAAAAATATACAATAAATAATGCTAACAAAAACACTATCAATCATATTATCATATATTATCAGTAATAAACATTGAGTTACTCTAAAGAAAATAAACACGTCTCTGAGGTGAGCTTCGTATGTTGGATCAAAACCAGACAATTCTACTTTTTATGATTTTAAAGTTTAACTGTTGCCTTAATGTTTATTATGAGCTTCAAAGTCTATGTATTTATTTGCACGTTATTGTTCTCCTGACAATTTTGCAAGCAAGTAAATCATCATTTTTTAAATTTATGAACAAGGAAGTTATAAAGTTTTTATATTTTTACTCTCGGGATTTTATTTGTAAATTTTACGATATAAAAATATTATTTATAATGTAAATAAAATATAAGACTTGAAAAAAGGTTTTTAATTTTATTAAACAAATAATCGGGTGGTTATTTATTTTTGTAAGGATATTTTTTTACCAGACAAAATTGTTTGATATTGTTTCGGGTTTAGTCATAAAAAAAAATTAGGAAAAGATTTTTTAACTTAATTTTTCAACAAATAGTTTTTTTTTTAACACAATGTTTATTATAGGCAATTTAATTAATCAATATTTTAATAAATTTTATTCATCAATATTTAACTGTTGCCATAGTAACGGTTGCTATGATAATCGGTGCCAAAGTTGTTACCATAGCAACGAAAAGCGACAACACTGAAAACGTCACATCAACTTTGTAATAAAGGATAAGCGTCTAAAAATTTAAAAAACTGACGGATGAGTTTTAAATCATGCGAAAATAAGTAGAGGCTTAACAAGCTAAAGCTTGTAAAAAATAAATTTACAGGATCACTGGAATGGAGGGCAGCTTCCAAAATGGATCTGACGAAGCAAATAATCAAAATCATATTAATGGTAAAAAGTCCTCGATGTCGTTAAGCGTAACCGGCTTGTGGGATGTAGTCCCCCGTATGGAATACTACAGGTATTGTTATAATGAAATTTACAAATATAAAGTCAATAATAATTATTATTATCATTAATCAAATTTTCAACCCTTTTTTGGTCAATCTAGAGTCATGTTTTTCAAGTTTTTTTTATAATAGTTCTAAATATTGAACTTGTTTAATTGAGCGCTAAAAATTTTATTGTAGAATATTTTTATTGAAAATGCATTTTACAATTCAGTCTTTTATGCTTAATTAAATAAATTTAAAATTTATAATTATTGCATAAAAATTCTTATCATATAAAATGCTCTCAGTATAAAAATGTATGAGTGACGTGTGTGGTGAAGGGTCTGGTAGTTTAAATAGTAGAGCACCCTTTATATAATCTTGAAGATCCAGGTTCGAGTCCTGGCTTGGTTCCGAGCCTCATATTTTTTCTGAGGCTCGTTATTTCGACTTAATTTTAAATTTAATTAATATTTAACATCAAAACAGATTATTGACAACACTTTTAGTTAATATTATTCAAAGTAGAGATGGTATGATAGAAAACTGTACAAAGAGCACAAAAGTTATTCTGATATTTAGTAATATGTAATTTCCACATTAATATATTTAAATAACATGATACTAGGTTTACCGAAAAAAAAATTAAAAAGCATCAATAATTTTAAACCACAGTCTGAATGATCATTTCCGATGATAGTAATAATAATAATAATAATGTAAAAACATTTCTATCAAAAACAGAATGAGCAAACGTGCTAAGCGGCCATCTCTAAGTGATTTGCACGACGGAAACCCAGTAAAAGTAAGTTATATATTACTTATCTCTGATAATTTATCATTGAATAATTTATCCTTGTCAATATAAAATGTTAATAAAAATCAATCAATATTGCAAAGCTTGAAGGCGCTAATTTAGCACGTCACTCATTATTCTCTCGAATACTAACCTGTTATTGAAAATAACTAAAAAGAAGTAATCCCGCCGGTAAAAACCCAACGTGTCTAGATATCGTCGGATTTAACCGGTAATTTTCTGTATACACATTTACACAATCTCATTCACCTACGTAACAGTAACACCTCATATATCCATTAAATACAAACTTAAACATAAACAGAATTTACGTTTATTTATTTTAACCGTACGGTAATTTACAGAGTTGATTAACTCTAACTGTCCCTATCTTAACGACTCACACAAAAACTTATAATCTCTTAATCTTTCAGTCATCCTTCACACCAATTTAAAAATAAATATTTCAACACCCAGAACAATAGAAACAAATAATAGATATATTTTTATTGCTTTTAAGGGTATCCTTAAAAATGTTAAAATAAATCTATGCTTTTTGATGCGTAGGATACCAACGTTGAAGCGGCTATTGTAAATCCAGGACAAGCGATCCATGCAGGAATAAAATTAGGATGGATACAAGGGGTATTGATTCCTTGCCTTCTTAATATATGGGGTGTTATGCTATTTCTTCGGCTATCCTGGATCGTTGCACAGGCTGGGATATCATGGTCGCTATTAATTATCGGCATATCAGCACTCGTCTGCGTTATAACAACACTCAGTCTCAGTGCAATTAGTACTAATGGCGAAGTAAAGGGAGGTGTGTTGATACAACTATCTTTATTTTATTTTCTCTTTCTCTTTCTCTTATTTTTCTTTGTTTTATTTTTACACTAAGGCGCGCTCCGTTTGTATTTCCACAATACTTCCACCTCGTTGTTTTTACACACGTTTTTATTTCTTCATTCCTCTCGGTTTCATGTTTTTTTAACGGCTTTGCAAGGCGAGTAATAATATATCAATTATTGTTTGCTCAATTTGTCATTTTTATAGCAATTCAATGACAGAATTTTTATTGATAATTAGCTACTGTTTTTTTTTTATTCGCTCATAAAATTGTTGAGAATTTTTTTTAATCGGAAAAAATTTTTTAGAACAAAGACTTATGCAAAAAAAATATTAATAAATTTTTAGTACTCTAAAACTCTTTAAAAAAAATACGAAAAAATTTTTAATGACTAAATTTTATTATTTATTTTAATATTATCGTTTTTTAATAAAAAAAAAAAAAAAAAACTTCCAATAAATGCAAACAGTCTGTAAATCTAGCCAATTATATTATTATAAAATAATAATTGTAATTAAAATTCTATACTAATGAAATTAATTAAATAAATTTTTATTTATTATTTAAAAAAAACTATTTTTTCAGGAGGAATTTATTTCATTATTTCAAGATCGCTAGGCCCGGAATTCGGAGCGTCTATTGGGCTAGTTTTCGCATTTGCGAACGCAGTAGCAGCTTCGATGAACACAATCGGTTTTTGTGAATCAATGAACGATTTATTGAAAAGTCACGATCTAAAGATAATAGACAACGGCGTTAACGATATAAGAATCGTCGGAGCGATAGCTTTGTTCGTAATGATTCTAATTTGCGCTGTCGGCATGGAATGGGAGTCAAAAGTAAGTGTCAAAAATTGAAACAACAAAACAGAAACTTATTTAAAACTGATCAATTTTCAGGCTCAAAATTTCCTGATTGCAATAATCGTGATCGCAATGTTCGACTTTATGATCGGCACGATTATTGGCCCGCGTGACGAAGTCGCAAAAGCCGAAGGATTTATCGGGTTTTCGACAGAAGTCTTCCAGAAAAACTGGAACTCAGACTACCGGCACTTCGAAAACACGACATACAATTTCTTCTCGATCTTCGCGATATTTTTCCCGTCGGTGACGGGCATCCAAGCGGGCGCTAATATTTCTGGGGATTTAAAAGACCCCGCTAAAAGTATTCCAATCGGGACTTTATTGTCTCTGCTAATTTCCATGATTAGCTACGTTGCATTCGTGTTGTTCGCTGGCGGCGCGGCTCTACGTGATGCCGGTGGATTTGTCAACAATACTATTGTTAATTGTACTCCCGGAATCGACTGTCAGTACGGCCTTCACAATAGCTTTTCTGTAAGTGAAACATTTTTCAATAATTATTTATGATAATGCTAATTTGTTCTCTCGGAAATTTTAAAATTAAAACAAAAGCTACAATGTGAGAATAAATGAGCTGAAAACCTGATTTTTTTTCCATTCTAACTTTTTTTATTAACTAAATTTTTTATTGAGATAAAATTTTTCATAGCGATTAAATTTTCCAACTCAAGAAAGTTAATGTGAGAAAAAATTTTATTTCTTCAGCTAAGAAATAAAATTGTCTAAAATTTCCAACAAATTCATTTCTTGTGACGAAAATGTCCAAATTTTTCAAAAGAAATTTTTTCTCTCAGTGTATTCTTAAAAAAATAAATACCGGCTCAAAATTTGGCAACCTTGTCTATAAAATGAACAGTACCATTACGATTAAAATTAATATTAAAACTACACGGAAAAAAATAAATAGTAAATGCAATATGATGCAGTCTTGGTAAATGAACATGATGAAATCATGTTGCAGCCACATGATTTGTCATGTTTTGGCTACATGGCAATCATGTTGCGGTAGTATGAGAAAAATCATGTTGCTGCCACATAATTTTTCTCATGCTACCGCAACATAATTGTCATGTTGCAGCCACATGATTTGTCATGTTTTGGCTACATGGCAATCATGTTGCGGTAGTATGAGAAAAATCATGTTGCTGCCACATAATTTTTCTCATGCTACCGCAACATAATTGTCATGTAGCCGAAACATGACAAATCATGTGGCTGCAACATGATTTCATCATGTTCATTTACCAAGACTGCATCATGTTGCATTTAATATGTATTTTTTTCCGTGTACTATTATGAAAACTGTATTAGCAATAATTTCCTCAGTATTTATCGTACTTTTGTACGTAGAATAATAAATTTGTTTAGTTTATATAGATTAATCTAGTTTTAAGACTCTACTTCACTGTAAATATTGTAAAAATTATATTGTTTTTTATATTTGCCATTTAGCTATTGTGCTTTATTGGTACAAAATAATAAATCTAAATCTAATCTAACATTGAAAATGAAAATCAGGTTACTTAGATCAAGGACAGATTCTATTTGCAGCCTTTGTTAAAGATATTTTGAATAATAAACTAAATTAATCAGGTAATGCAATTGATGTCAGTATGGGGACCATTTATATATGCTGGATGCTTCGCAGCGACATTATCAACAGCTCTAACGAATTTATTATCAGTACCGCGGCTGATTCAAGCCCTGGGACGCGACAGAATTTACCCGGGATTAATATTCTTCAGCAAGGGATACGGAAAATCCGGAGAGCCGTACCGGGGCTACGTGTTGACATTTATTGTCGCAGCAGTCTTTCTCCTTATCGGTAAGATTATTTAACATATCTCTAATTATCTAATAAGATAAAATCAGACAATGCCATCAAGCAATCTTTCCAAGATCAATCTAGACCGAGATTACGTTTAAATAAAAATTGACGTAATGTTATTACTTTATTGCAGCGAATCTTAATGCAGTTGCTCCTCTTATCTCAAACTTCTACTTAGCCTCTTATGCTTTGATAAACTTCTGTACCTTCCATGCTGGCTTGATTAGACCTCTTGGTTGGAGACCAACATTCAAGGTAATCTGATAAGTTTATTTTATTTCATTTTATTATTATCGAATCATTCACTTACATCCTTATTTCTTCTTTCTTATTTCTCTTTATATTATTCTAGTTATTTCATTTTATTTTTATACTTATTTTCAGTATTACAACACGTGGCTGTCGCTCCTGGGTTTTATCCTCTGCGTAGCGTTTATGTTTTTAATTGACTGGGTTACTTCTATCATTACACTGGTTGTTATATTTGGGCTGTATTTGATCGTCGTTTACAGTAAGCCCGATGTCAATTGGGGTAGCAGTACTCAAGCGCAAATTTATAAAACTGCGCTCTCTGTTGTTTATCGGTAAATAATTTTTGTCTTTAAATATTTTTTATTTTTAATTTTGGAAAGCTTTGGAATATTTAATAGAATTTTATCTAAAGATTTTTTTCAAAAATTTTATAAAATAGTATAAAAAATTTTTTATGAAATTTTAATACCAAAATTTTATTAAATATTATAAAATCTTATAAAAAAATTTTATTTTGATAAATTTAATGTTCAACATAAATTTTTTTTTTTTTTTAAACAGATTAAAGTATATAGCTTCAATATTGAAAAAAAAAATTATTGTAGGCGATAAATGAATTTTAACTATAATAGGCATTTACATATTTAAGGGCTGGTTATTGAAAAACCGAAATTTTTTATTTATTAAATATTTTAATTTATTAAAAGTTTATTTATAGATAAATTTTTGAACTTTTTTATAAAAATAGAAATTAATGTTTAATCAGCGCAACAAAATTTTATTTTTCTTGAAATTTAATTCAAAATTAAAAACACTAATTAAGAAACATTAGCGCTAAAAAAAAAAAAAAAAAAAAAAAAACAGTTTATTTTAATGAAAAAAAAATCCTAAGATAAAATTCTTAAATTTTTTTAATAAAAAACTTAAAAGTGAACTTATATTTCAGATTAAATGTAACTGATGAGCATGTTAAAAATTACGCACCACAAATTTTATGTCTCTCGGGATTCCCGGAGAAACGTCCTGATTTATTGCACCTGGCGAATCTGATAACCAAGCATAATTCGCTACTTATTGCCGGAGAAGTTTGCACAGTAAGTTCTCTAAATTAACTTAATTTAAAATAAATAATATAGATTGATAAATTTTAATCATTTTTTCTCTACACAATTCTACTGACTGCCCATTAATTCAATTAGATAACAATTCTTATGTTTTCTTTTAAAAGATAACCAAATAAAAATGATAATTTATATTAAACTGAAAGAGATTTGGTAATAAGTAGATATTTTTAAAAATAAAAATAAAATTTTTTTTTCATTAATAAATAGGCGTCGATATCTTATCGAGCAAGACTCGCAAGATTACGCGGTGGGTATGAATGGCTGAATCGCCATCGGATCAAGAGTTTTTACCAAGTGATCAGCAATTTGAGCTTCGAAAAAGGAGCCTCTGCTTTGATGCAGGCTGCTGGCGTTGGTAAATTAGTGCCTAATGTCGTTTTGATGGGCTTTAAAACCGACTGGGCTGCTTGTAATCATAAAGATCTCGAGGAGTACTTTAACATACTTCAGTAAGTTCAGTGAAGAATTAATAATTGTTATTTTTATATATTCATCAAGGTCTATCAAAAAAATTGACAGTCTTTTTAAATGATCTTTAATTTTAGCACTGCATTTGATCAAAAATTGGCTGTCGCAATGTTGCGTCTCCCAAACGGAATAAACACGTCGAACATTTTGAACCACGTTGAAGAAGAACAATTGGTACAAAGCAGTTACGATTTAGCGGGTAACACTCTGATGCACGCTGACAGCGACTTATCGATGAGCAGTCGTATAACAAGGGTACAAAGTGTACCTGTAATTGGGTCCCATTATTTACCGGGCAGCGAGTCAAGTGGACCTGCTGTCCGCGAATCCCCGACAAATTTAAGCGCTCGAGATCAGCTTAGGAATAAAAAGAAACATATTGCTGATAAATTGTTGTAGTAAGTTATTTATTCTAAAAAATTATTTTAAACTTGAAAATTGAAAACAACTTTTTTTTTTTTTTATTAAAATTGTTTCTTTTTTTTTGCAGTGAAAAAAGGAATGGAATATTAACAGAACCCCAAATGATAACTGTTTTTGAAAAAAAACACAAGAATGGAGTTATTGATGTTTGGTGGCTCTATGACGATGGAGGTAATATTATTTAATAATTTTGTTTTTGGCCATTTTGAAAGAAAATTTTGAAACTAAAAATAAAATGAAATAATTTTTAGGATTAACGATATTGTTGCCATATATTATAAGTACAAGATCTAATTGGGAGCATTGCAAAATGCGAATATTTGCCTTAGCTAATCATAAACAGGAAAGCTCGGCTGAAGAAAAAGAGTGAGTTTTTTTTTTAATATTTTATTTAAATATAGCTTTTTGATAAATAAAAATTTTAAAAGTTTTTTATTTGTTTATTTTTTCAAATTTCATCATTAAATATTATTATTATTATTATTATTAAAATAAAAATTACTAAAATATTGATAAATTTTTCAGAATGGCAGAAATAATGGCCAAATTCCGTATCAAGTACACAAGTTTAAAAATAGTGGACGACATAAGTGTTCCACCTAAACAAGAAACGCAAGATTTCTTCGACAAACTCATAACTGATTTCAGAAGACAAGACGATAATGACACAACAGACTGCGTGATAACGGACCTAGAATTACAAACATTAAAAGACAAAACAAATCGGCAGTTGCGTCTCAGAGAGCTGCTGCTGGAAAACTCTAGCAAGTCAACTCTTGTTGTAATGTAAGTGTTAAATTCAAAATTTTTTACTTAAAAAAGATTCTTCTTTAATTTTTTCTCAACAAATCATAATTCACTTTCAGGTCCTTACCGATGCCAAGAAAAGGAGCTGTTTCGGCCCCGCTGTATATGGCTTGGTTAGAAACTTTAACCCGTGATATGCCGCCGACACTTTTAATACGAGGGAATCATGCTTCTGTATTAACGTTTTACTCTTAAGTAGTTTAATATTTTTTAAATCTAGAACCATTTTTAAATTGAAAAATGTCAATATTTGTTTGATTTAAGCAAACGTCATAATTAATTATTAATTATTAATTATTTACGATACGCTCTCTATTAAAATATGAGCAAATTTATGATAGAGTCTAGTATAAAAAAATTATTTTTTTTTTTTCATCGCTTTTATGATTTCTTCAATTTTTTTTAATTGAATAGTTAATTAAATAAAAAATTTTGAAGACTAATTGAAGTAATAATTAAATACGAAATAAAAAAAAAATAATCATTAAAAGTGAGAAAAAATATCGAGCCAATTAACAATACACCTGTCATATAATCACAACAATAACTTTTAATTATTTATTATTTATCAGATTGTAAATAAAAGTCATTTTAAAATAACAAGCTCGACAACTATTTAAATAAGTATCTTATTTCTCAATGAACTGATAAATTACCATTTACTATAATTAAATCCCTTTATAATTTATAAGACTATTTTATTTTTAGAGTTAAAAAAAAACTTACATGTACTAATAAATAAAAAATCAGTATTTCTTATTTTTAAAACCATATATTATAAACTGTACCACATACATATACAAAATATTTTATTATTTGTATTATCTAAAAAATAAATTTTAAAAAAGTAACAAAGTCTTGATTTTATTTTATTTTTTTTATAATTCTCCACTTTTCATCCGAGGTATTTTTCCATTAGAAGGCAATCTAAAAAATATGTTTTAATTTACAATCTTAAAAAAATTTTTAACTTTTAAAAAATAATAATAACAATGCTTTTGAATAATTAATTTAATTTTGAAAAAATTTTCTGAATCAAAATAAAATTAATTATTTTTAAGTCTCAATCTAAAAGTGATAGATCCTTCTTTTTGGCTAAATAAAAAAAATGTGATAATCTTAGTAAATTATTATTAGATTACACAATATTTACAAATTATAAATCTGATTATATTAAATTACATAATATTGACAACAGCTTAAAAAATTTTGATTAAAATTATGTTATTGATGTTTGTAAGTCTGTGGTATAAATATATAAACAAGAAATGTCTAGACTAAATTTAAATAAATAAAAATATTATTTTTTATGATATTCAAACTAACAAATATTTGATAATTAGCAATTTTATTTAGACAATTGTTTAGTTTTCTAATCATCTTAACGTCTGTGGCATAAAAAATTGAAAAAAAAAAAAATTATATTTTTAAATATTTTATCTTTAAGTAATTTTAAAATAAAAAAAAGTGAATTTTTTAATGAGTTTTAAAGCTTTCAATGTTAAATAAAATTGCCTTTATAAATTCTAAAAATTATCAAATATCTGTTAATTTAAATCTACCCTAAGAAAAAAAAAAAAAAATAATTTGAATCAAGAGAAAAATTTTTGAACCAAGAAAACAATTTTGAAGAATTTCATTGTCTTGAATCAAGACGAAAAATTCTTATAAAAAGTAAAATTTATTTAATCCAAATTTCTTAATTTGAGAATTAAAGTAAATTTTTATTTTCTGTGTGAAAGAAACCACAGTAAGTTTATAAAAACTCAATAATTGACAAATAAATAACTTGAAACCTCAGAAAAAAAGCTCTCACTTGTTATTAATTTCAAAAAGTCTTGTAAAAACCGGATGAATGTGCTCTAGCATGTCAGTGGTGAGCATAGCGCGCTGTTTGTCCTTGAAAGCGCTGGCATTGCACTCCCTGGTCAACCTGGAGGCCGCGTAGGCAGCAGTGATAGCCGGAGTGGAGATAGTGCACTCACTAGGCCCGGCAGTGATGGCCCACCACCAGAAAACGGCCAGCGAGCCAGCCAGAAGATCTCCCTGGCCACCGCAGCGTCTTCCGGAGCCAGAGGTCGCGCAAGTTACGGCCTCGCTGCCCTTTTGGCCATCCACGATGACATCCTTCGCGCCCTTGTTCAAGATCACCACATTTTTCCCAATAGAGTCCGCGAGATGCTTGAGCTCGGAAATTTTAACCACCGGGGCCGGCTGGACCGTGCGATCCAGGAAAGCCTTGACCAATCTGCTGAACTCCATCGCGTTCGGGGTCATTATTACTCCCGGGTAGTCCCGGATCAAGTCCGGCTTCTGGCAGAGCAGGAACAAGCCGTCTGCGTCCAATATCAAGGGCTTCTTCAATTCGCGGCAAATGCTTATTAATTCCGCGATAATTTTGAAAATTTTCTCGTCTCTTCCCAGACCCGGCCCGATTAAAATCACGTGGAGTCTGTCCAGCCACGGCTTGATTTGCCGGATCGCGTCCGCGTGGTCCAATAGCGGATGGACTATCGGCTCAGGGCTGAAAGATTTTATCGCTGTTGCCGCGTCTTTTGTGCAGAAAATGTGGACCAGGTCTGCCCCCGTTCGGAATGCACTCATTGCTGCTAAGTAAGGCGCTCCGGTGTACTCCATACTGCCCCCGAAAATTCCTATCCTGCCGTCTTGGCCCTTGTACTTTGTTGTCGTCAAAGAAGGGACTATTTTACGGACCGACTTCAACATACGATCGTCCAATGAAATTTGAGAAGACATTTTTACGGTTCTTGGCAAGTCAAAGTGGAATCTGTTAATTATTTTTTTTATAGTTTTTATCATCATCATCATTATTATTATTATTATTATTATTTTTTGTTTGGTAAAATAAATTGTTTAACTCACGTGAAATAAAAATATATTATTCTTTTTTGTAAAGAAGAAATTTTTACACCAAAATTTTGGAGTAATTTTGAAAATTTTTAACGATAAATATGTTTTTAACCTCTACTAGTGACACAAACAAGTGAATTTAGCACTGAACAGCTCATTTTTATCCACTGATACTTTTTAAGGATAAAAATAGACTGATAAAAAAAACGAGCGATAAATCGCTAATCCACAAGTCATTTAAATATTGAATAATAATACTGTGATTTACAATCAGAGTTTAAGTTTAATTTTACTTATTGTTTGTTATTGTAATTATTATTATTATTATTATTTTGGGCTGCAATTGATAAGAGCGAGTTAAAATTTGCCGCTTGCTGAATTAAAGACAGTTACCGGTTGATGGAATTCGTAAATAACGACGTAAGGTCAAGTCGATTGGGATTATTTCAGAAGCAGGTTTGGAAAACATTACTTTGTATGAACCCAGTTAGCACAGGTTGACCATCAACTAGTTGATGTTCAATAGTTTTACGTCAACTTTATGTTAACTTCGCGTCAACCTCTGCATTAGCAACAGTTTCCCAGAACTTAACTTTAACTTACACATCAAGTTAGCGTAAATCTATTGCCGGAATTTTCCGAAAGGTTCGCTCAAAGTTAACGCAAAGTTGCAGAAAGTTAACGTTAACTTCACGTCAACTGTTGTAAGTATAACTGTTGCTTTACTGTTAGCGTAAACTTTACGTCAAATTCCGGCCGTAGGTTTACGTGAACTTCGTTTCGCTTGTGCTAACTGGGAAAAAGAAGACTATATAGAAAGCTTTTAGATTTTTTTTTAATAAAATTTTTGAAATCTAATCTTTTAAAATTATACTTGTTATCAGCTAGTGTGTTAAAATTTTGTATGAAGTTTGAATAAATGAGCTCATTATTTTGAAAAGATATTTATTGAATGTTTTATTCAATTTATAATTTATTCCGTCCCTTAAAAAAAATAATTTGCTCTTAAAAGAATACTTTTCATATTTTTATAAATTAAAAAATTCATTAGTATATAATATGTTGATAAAATATAAACTTTAAACTTAATCATAAATAATTCATTGCCAGACATTGAGAGGTCATCGCTTTTCCCCACACAAACTTTATATCAATAAAATACATATTGATGAGATCGATGAGCTTGTGTCTGTCTGGGATTCCTTTGCAATGAAAATAAATAACTCAATAAAAAAATTTAGTCGCGATTAATAACTACCGTTATGTATAAACCGATAAAGATAAGGAAATTTTCTTTATAACAAAGATCCGGGGATTCCTCAGCCCCTTCCGTAGCTCAAATGTTATTGAATAAACAATAAACTACAACATTGATATTTTCTTTTTCTTTGACTGTCCGTGATTGATGATTATTTTGGGAATCCCAGTAACTATTTCTGTTGAAAATTTACATTTCCTCAATTTGTATAGAGAAATGAGTTTCATATATAAGTGCGAATATAAGAACTTGCGAATCAGTTAGCAATCTAGCTTCATAAGAAACTTTATTGACTTGAAAATATTATTTTCAAAGTTTTACTTTCTTATTACGATGGCCAAATTTCTGGTTTTCTTACTTTTGATCGCAACTGCAGTCGCTGTATTTTCTGCACCTGTTGAAGGTAAGCACAATATTTTATTACAAAATTATCCAATAGTTAATTCTTCGGTTTTTCATACCTTTCGGTCTGCTGAGTGATATGTTCCCGATTAAAAAAAAAAAAAAAACGAATTAAAAAATATTTGAAAATACTTTTGAATTTCCTAATCAAGAATTAAAATTGTCAGTCGTTTTGAATTATTTTTTCTAATCAGGGGAAATTCAAGTAAATAGGAATGAAAATTTTTATGTCATTAAAAAGATCGAGACAATTTTTTACTTCACATAAGTTGATGCAATCCTTGAATAAAAACGAGCTTGAAGTATTTCACGACTTAAAAATTAATTTAAAGCAAAGAATAACTTTGAAAAATTTTGGGATTGAAACTAAGCCGGGAATCGAACCCGGACCTCTATAATTACATATCAGGAACTCTACCAGTTAACCTACATGACATTTCATCATTTTAATTATTTAAAATGTTACGGTCAGGAAAAACTTAAGGTTTTTTTTTTTTTGCAGAAGAACAGATTCAGCAACAACTAGAAGAGCACTTCCGTTTGCCACGGGCTACCTGTGATCTTCTCTCAGGATTTGGAGTAGGTGACTCTGCTTGTGCGGTCCATTGCCTAGCCAAGAAATTCAAAGGCGGCTGGTGTGACAAAGGAGTCTGTCATTGCCGTCATTAATTGGATCATTGTAATGATATCCACAGAATACTCAGCGATAAAAATTGGCAAATAGCATTTAATGGATAATTTATATATCTATGATTGTTAAAAAAAAATACTCTCAATTATATTGTAAAATTTGATACAGAGAATTATTCTTCAATTGATCACAATTGTAATATGTTGATAAAATTTAAATTATAAATATAATCATAAATATTTCATTGCCAGATATTGAGAGGTCATCTCTTTTTCTTACTGCGATTACTCAAACAAATACTATTTCTATAAAAGACATATTGATGTGATCGATGAGCTTGTGTCTCTCTGGGATACCTTTACGATGAAAATAAAAAAATTAAGTCGCGAAAAACTGTATATTTTTTATCACCAACGCCTCTAATAATTACATATTTTATTAAAGTTTTATTTGTTTAAGAAAAATTTATAAATCTGCAAAGAGAGAAAAAGATAGGACCTGAAACTTAATTAGATAAAAATAATTACAAAGAGTATATAAAACGCTCAAAATTTTTTATGAGTATCTGTCCAGGGTTCCTTGACATTATAAATATTAAACGCCTGTAAATTGATAACGATATTCTGGGAATAACCCCAGAAATTTATTATTGTTAATAAGTTAACTTATAATTCCTGGTTTTCTTCCTTTTGATTGCAACCGCGGTTGCTGTATTGTCTGCACCAATAACTACAGGTAAATATAATACTTTTTTGTTTATAAATTGTTGATTTATTTCAAACAAGATACTTAACATTTTATTTTCACTATATGACTATCTTAAATTATTTATTTTTTTAATAATTAAAGAAGTAACAATTTTTTCTACGAAAATATATGAATAATTTTTTACATGCATCACATGTAAAGTCATATTTATTTTTATGTTTTTAAATAATATGTATTGTTGTTATAGACATCGGACTCTTGTCAATTTTGGAAAAATTTTTTAAGGATTATTTATGTATAACTTTTAAGGATTTATACTTTTTCTATAAGAAGAGGGATAATTATCAAGGAAAAATATGTTAAATAAAATCTTTTTTTTTTTATCACAGATGAGAATCCAGCCCAGTCAGAAAAGCCACATAAGCAGAATTCACATTTTTCTAGGTGTGAAAAAATCTTCACTCGGGATCCATCGGGGCCCGTTCCCGAAGATGTATACAATTGTTCACACGAATGCCTGATTTACAAGAAATACTCTGGAGGTTACAGCGAAAACGGATCTTGCCGTTGCTGTTAAAAACAACAATATATTCCATAATTTCCTATCACTATGGGATGAAATTTTCTTTGGATAATTATTGTTACATAACATTAATTAATTTAATAAAAAGCCAAATTTTACAGAAAAGTAGTAGATTTTAAATTTATTTAATTATAAATTATCGCCCTGAAAAGTAGAACAAATCTTTATACTTCCATTAATAAGCTTTTCGATAACTTTTGGAATTGTAATGATAAATCTGCTTATAACTTGTGATACTGACAAAAAAAAAAAAAAAGTGAGTTTAGCTCTGAACAGTTCATTGTAATCATGTTTTTAATCACGCTTTTTGAAGATAAAACTCAGCTGGTAAAAAAAAAAAGCGATAAAAAATCTACTCAGCATAATTTCAAAAATAAAATTTTCCAAAGGTGTATTTTTGGAATAATTTTTGCAATTGCTGTACCTATCACTTTCGTTTGAGAGCTATCAAAAGGTTTCAAAAAATGTGTTTTTTTGCATAACTCCAAATTTTTTGTGGGATCGTTTGCAGGCAACAAGTTATATAATACCGCAAAAATAAATTTATCAAAAAATATTTTTAAAAAATTTTGTTTTCTTCACTGTAGATATAATTATATGTTATACATAACATGACCGGATCAGAAAATTTTTTCACGGGAAAATAATTATCTAAGCTTAACCCTTTAGCGCTTAGCCTTGAAACCCGACTCTTTACCACAGCATGTGTAGTAAGAGGACATACAAAAAGTGTAAAAAAATTCATAAAAATTCAATATAGATACATTTTCACCTACGGCCCTGTAAATGTCTGTCGAGTGGGGTTAAAATCAGTGGAAAAGTACTCGCGGTATAGTAATATAACACTATATCATGATATTACTCCGCGCTTTACTCACACAACCTCGCGGGGTGTGATTCGCGCTTTCTCCACTTATCATACGCGATGTTTTAGATTCTCAGAATCTAAGGGGTTAAAACGTTTTTTTTTTTCGATGATTTTCTGGTCTCAAAATTAGATTTATTTAGCAGAACAAATTTTTAGCAATATAAATTAGAAAATTTAATTGAACCTTATAAGCCTCATTAATTTTTTTAATTAGACTTTTTATCTACTGTAAAATAATTTCATTCTTAATATTCTTTAGATAATAGGCCGTTGAGGTTGAAGTCATCGTTCTAAATTAAAATTTGAACCTCTCGAAACTACGCTGAGAGAAAAAATTTCTTTTGAAAAAAATGAGTATTGTTCTGACAAAAAATTAATTTGTAAAACATTTTAAACAATTTTATTTCTTAGCTGAAAAAAAAAAAATGTTAATCTTATTTATTTTTTTGTTAAAATAAAAAAAAAATATTTTTTGATTTGAAAAAAATAATTTTAAATAAACAACTAGCGAATTATCATCCAAAATTCGTTATGTCCAAATCTATACACCTTTTTTCAACAGAAAGTTAATGTAAAAAAAATTTTTATTTCTTCAGTTGAAAAATAAAATTGTTTAAAAATTTTTATAAATTACTTCTTATTAAAAAATTGCACATTTTATTAAAAAGAAAAGCACGAAAAAGGAGTCTTTAATCAGATCATTACAAAGATTCCAATAAAAATTACAAAATTTTTTTAAAAAATATCCAAAGACAAAATTTCGCTTATTGCGCATTAAAAGATTTCAAAATAAGTAATGGAAAATTTTCATACGTCCACTCTGAGTCATTCATCAGCATACAAGTATATATATAAATAATGGAAATTTCCATAACTTCCAATTCGAACTATGAGAAATAGCTGTACATAACATAGATTTTTTTTTTTTATTATTTTCATTTATTATGAATACTCATCACGTCAATTACAAAAAGAATTCCGGTTGTTAACCACTGAGAAATATTTTTTTCTTAGCATTTGATGTATTTTTTTTTTTTTCTCATTTTACTTTCTTAGTTACACTGTCTCCATTTATAATACCACATAACGGGAACGAGTTTAATATATAAGGACGAGAAGAGAAACTTTTGAGTCAGTTTGCAATCACACCTTGCAAGAAACCTTTCGAGATTTTTACCTTCGTGGACTTTAAACATTTTTTTGCGATGACTAAGTTACTAGTTTTTCTACTTTTGGTCACCTTTGCTGTTGCAGTATTGTCTGCCCGAGGTAAAGGTATAGACATAATTATCAAAAAAATAGATTTACTTAAAGATTTAATTTTGGACGCCATAAACGCGAAGAGTCTGGATTACGTTCGTCTAAAAATGGAAGCTTGTTGATTTAAACTTTAAATTTATTTTTAAAATAATTCAGTTATAGTGGGAAAATTTATACCGAAAGAAAAATAAAGTATTAACAAGCAATTTAAAAGGAAAAAGTGAAATTTTCGGTATAAACATCGCGGTGTTACAATTTTTTTATTCCGTTTGTATTTCAAATTTTAAGAACTGATTTGAAAATCATCCTTCAATTATTGTTCGGTTAATTTTAAATAAAAGTTTTCTCTCATTATTTCCTCACCCGTGAGACAACCATATGGAATATCCCTTCGTAAACAAAATTCTTTGTAGATTCTATGAGTGCAGGCGTTTCTATCATTTGTAGTTGACCTCTCGCGACGCGTGAGGGCATTCAACTCGCAAGATAATTTCTTCTCACGGATTTAAACAAACAGCGAAAGTTAATTGAAAAGAAAGTTTATTTGTTTGGGATTAAATTATTTATTAAAGTGGTTTTTATTATTTTTGCTTCTGCAATGTACAGTGGATCATTTTTATTAAAAATTGAAAATAGTTGAATTTACCAAAAATTATTCATTTTCATTTCAATGAAAAATTACATTTCAAACTTTCTTTCTCAATAAGCTATATCACGTTTTATGATAAAAAAAATATCAAGTCTCATTTATTTAAATAAGTAGAATTTTAGGTAGATAAGATAAATAATGATTTTGAGAAATTTTTATTTAAAAAAAGAAAATTTATTCAAAATTATTTTCTTGGTTAAAAAAATTTTTTTTGACCTAAATTAACTTTTTTTTATCTAAAAAAAAATGGAATTTCAACAATTTTGGAAAAAAAATTTCGAATTTTTTGTTTTATAAAAAATTCAATTAGATAGATTGTCTTACAGAAAATTTTCTTTTATTTCCATTGAAGTAAATTTAACAGTTTGTAATTCCTTAACATCGAAATTTCGTGTCCAAAATCTGTTAATTAACGTCAAAAAAATAATTGAAGAAATTTTCCGCTCAAAAATACTACCACAAGTATGAAATTATTGATTAAGTAATTTTTCAAGTTATTATCACTTATTTTGAATATAAAATAATATTGATTAACACTAAACAGCCTTTATTAATAAAAATAAAACATGTTTGATATTTTTAATATCAAAACAATAATTTTTATTATAGATGACGATGGTTCCTATCAAGAAGGAGGAACATATCAACAGCAGGGTGATTCACATCAAGCTAAGTGCGCAAGACTCCTAGTTGGCGACCGAAGAGATCCCGCTCCTGAAGATGCGAACAATTGTTTACACGAATGCGTGATTTACAAGAAATACGTCGGAGGATACCGCGAAAATGGCGCTTGTCGTTGCTGTTAAAAACCACTTCTTTATTTGTATTATTTTTAATTAACATATGTCATAATAATTTTCCATAAAATTTATTCAATAAAGATTCAGATTTTTTGAAAAACTTTCTAGTTTTGGTAATTATCCAATAAAAAATTTTTATTCAAATTCATTTGATAATAATTATTAATTTTATTTCATTAGCCAGGTAGCCGGAGTTTTTGATTTGAATTTAAAACTACAGCTCTTTTAAGATATAACCGGTTATTTTTTTTCTCTCATTTCGAACTAATGGAAAAATTTAGACACAGCTAAACTATCTCAGTGAGGGAGCATGTTACTCAATAACCGATTAAGTAAGCTACTGCCAAAATTTAAATTAAAGAAAGTCGACGTCAACTCTGAAAAATACACTGAAGTTTATGTTAATTTATTTAAATTTTACAACTGTTGTAATTTTGATCTATAGTTCCGATCATTGCGCGTACATAAAACTCCCTTTTTAACCAACTATTGCTTCTTTTAATTTAAAAAAATGTTCATTTTTTCTTAAAAAATATATTTGATACTTGAATTGATAGAATTGATGGATTTATTTATTTATTTATTTATATAAATAATGGCAATAATGTATTGTAAAAAAATGTTTACGTTAAAATTATGCTAAAAGAAATTTTATTAAAAATTACCGTTAAATTCACAGTAATTGTGGGACAGATGAACACGATTTCATATCATTCGTCGGTAAATAAATAAATTTTTATTTAAAAAATACTAATAAAATTATTTATTTTTAAAGTTACATCATTAAGTATCCAAAGGAAGTCAGAGTAACTGAAATTAGGCTTTAAAACTTTCGTTAAATTTACTTATAATAATTATTAGAGTTGATAAGCTCATTATTTTTTTTAAAAATTAGTTTTTACTGAAAGAAAAAATTTCTTTCGAAAAAAGTGAAAATTTTTGTGACAAAAGATATTAATTTGTTTAAAATTTTAAACAATTTTATTTTCTTAGCTTAAGAAATAAAAATTGTAATAATTATTAACAGGTAAAAATCGACCCATTTTATTTTATTTCATACTTTTTAAAACTATTATTTATTAATAATTTTTTAAATAAGATTATTTGTATTTTTAGTGTCATTATCTAATTTTGACAGACGATAAAATATAAATCAATAATTATAGACAAGATTAATTTTATAATTTTACCATTAAACGTATTTTATTTATGCTATTTACAACACATACATACAATACGTGATCCTTACTTAAATCTAAAATATTCTAATCTCCCAAAGAGTAATCATATAATATGTCAATATACCAATTATTATTTCCCAAACATTCCTTTTATATATATTTAATAGTCTCATACAATTTTATCCTTTTAAATCCTTAATTTTAGGGAATCTCAACGTACTTACAACGATAAATAGAACAATAGAGCATTTTTTGTCTTTTATTAAGATTTAAAGTGTCTGATATGTTACAAACTTATTATTAATAATTAAAATTTCAAACATTTTATTGTTTACTGTATTTCTTTCCAAGTTAACGTTATCTGATAAAAACATTTCAATGGCTATTTTGTTTGTTATATTGCTTAAACAATTATATTTTTAATGTGAGAATGCTGGATGATATATTTGTAAATTATCTGACCAGAAAGACAAATTATAAATATACAACTGTATATTTAATTACTCCACATTATATTTACTCAAAACTAAATAAATTAATAACAAAAGATTAGATTGTAATTCAGCATTTACAAAAATTGAAAGCATTAACGAAATATTTCTTCAGGAAAATTGTCTTATATTGTTTAAAAAGATATTTAAAAAGTCGCGTATACTATTTGTTATTAATTTTATTAAATAATTACCCGCGGATGCTAATGCTGTATATGTATATATAAGAGTAGTGTATATTTATATGTACAGATTAATTCTCGATTAGCTTCAAGTCCCAAATTAATGAGATTTGTTTTATTTAAACTTGCTTCGTTGTTTCAATAAATAACGAAACAGTCTTAGTCCTCGCCTCCCTTCATTTCTTCTTTTAATTAACAACTAATAATTAATAATAAGTGGAAATAAAATAATTGCACCTAAATTAATAAGTGAAGAAATGAAGAGAGGTTTGTTGCTGGGACAAATATACATTTTATAACTAGTTATATATTAAATATTATACTTTCTTGGACATGTAGAAGTTTCTACGGTGAATACGCTCTAAATATTTTTTATTTAAAAAATTTATTGACAAACTGATAATTGATAATTGATGTTTAATGTACACTGAAAAAAAAATTTTTTTTTCTCCTAATTTTTTTTTTTTTTTTTTCAGTGGCAATAATACTAAAATTTACTTTAAAATTTCTATAACAAATTAATTGTGATTAATTATTTTTTAAAAAATTTGCACTTATAATTTTTACAAGTGAAATTATTTTCATGCTAAATTTGTTAAAAAAATTTTTAAATAGTTTTTTTTTTATTTTTAAATTAAAAAATTAAAATAAAGTAAACTTAACTTTTTTTTTTTTAAATTAATAAACTCTAAAAAAAATACCAGGTATTAATTAATAATAATTATTATTAATACTTAAAAAAATTCATAAAAATTTTTACGTGAAATTATTTTCATACTAAATTTGTTAAAAAAATTTTTAATGTTTTTTTTTTATGTTTAAAATTAAAAAATTAAAATAACGTAAAGTTAATTTTTTTTTTAATAAATAAACTATACAAAAATGGCAGGTATTGATTAATAATAATTAATATTACTTTGTATTCTAGGTGAAAAAAAATTTTTTTTTCAGTGAACAAATTGGTATTAGTTCAATTATTTATTTAATTTTAAATATTTATATTTGTATTTATATTTATATTATTTTTAGTGTCCAACGGTGGAAATTATGTCTGGTATTGAAGCATAGGCGCAGCTAAATTTGGATGATGTGCCGTGTTCATTCTCAACGCGGAAATGCTTTTGTTGTACCACTCATCTTCAGCAGACATTCCTGTTGATAATAACAACGATAATTATTAACTCAAGTATTTATCAATAAATTGAGGTAAATTACTTTGTAATTATTTGATGAAAGTTATTAATTCACTGAATTTAATTAATAAGGTGATAAAGAATAATGACAAAGGCAAGAAAGAAGATATCTAAAGGGGTAGAGGAAATTCGAGGAAGAAGGGCAAGTCGATAAGCAATTCTCGAATACTCTTGATTTGATTTAAAAGCGATATGCCATCTTGTACAGGAAATGATGTAAGACGTCGCTTTAAAGGAAATGGAGCGTCTTCGAGTGAGTGAATCTTATATCTTATATATCATTCTCTAAGCCCGTCTTCAATTTGTTGTATAGTTTCTACTGTTATTTCCGGTATATATTTTACAGTGTCTCGCTTTTAAATAATGCCTATTTTTATTCCTTTTTACAGATTTCGCTTTACTAATGCCAAAAGGGCGGATCTCAAAAAATACACTTAAAAAAAAAGATTTTTTCCTGCAGTAAAAAGTATAGTGATTTTTAAAAAACTCGGTTTCTTCCTTAAAATAAAAATATGGCCGACTTAGCCTTATTTGACACAGCAAAAGATGTGCTTATGTCATTTTTATCAATAGTCAATTTATGATGATAAGTATTTAGGCTCCATTACTATAGATACATAATTAAGAAATGACCCTGAATCTTGTGAACTATTGACATTTTTAAAGATATAAGCTCATCTTGACATTACACTCATCAAGACCTTTCATTTAAGTACCCACATGACAATATATATATATTATATATATATATGGTGTTTCTGATATATATAAATATATAAAATATATGAAAAATTGATGTGGGTACTCAAATGAAAGGTCTTGATGAGTGTAACTTCGGAATGAGCTTATATCTTTAAAAAATATCAGCAATTAATAACTGACATTGCTATCTTATCAATTAATGACATTCTTAAAGATATAAGCTCATCCCGATGTTACACTCATCAAGACCTTTCATTTAAGTACCCACATCAATTTTTTCATATATTTATATATATTATATATATGTATATATGAAAAATATATGAAAATGCATGTAGGTACTCAAATGAAAGCTCTTGATGAGTGTAACATCGAGATGTGCTTATATCTTTAAAATTGCCAACAGTTAAGAAAGTACAGTGCAATTTAACGTAATTAAGAAATAACCCTGTATCTCGTGAACTATTGACATTTTTAAAGATATAAGCTCATCTTGACATTACACTCATCAAGACCTTTTATTTGAGTACCCACATCAATTTTTCATATATTTATATATATTATATATTATATATGTATATATAAAAAATATATAAAAATGCGAAGCTAAAAATTTTATTTAAAAAAAATCACATTAGTTATAAATAAGATAATTACCCATCGCATCTTGTCGCATTCCCGTTACAGCCGACATATTCGACGCAGAGTGCGACATCGAGAAGGGTTGAGGCATACTTGGATAAGACGACGCTCCCATCTGCAATAATTTGTTTTTTGATTATTATTTATTAATAAAATCCGTAAAAAGCTCGTTAAATAATATTAATATTATTAGAAAGAAAAATAATTTTTCAGTGGCATCCGTATCGGTGGTACAAATTATCGGGTCAATTAAAACGACAGGCTCTCGGTAATCCGAAGCGGGCTCTACTAATTACCTACAAATGCAATTTAGTTACATGGGTATACTGATGGACCACGTGTATGCCACACCACGTCAATTATATTTAATCCATGCGGGTTCAAGATGAATAATTTCATAGAGAATTTTTTTTATTTCACATTATCTATATGAAGGCTAATTTATATTTTTTTTATTTCCTCATTTAATATTTAATATTGTTACTGGTAAAATTTTAAGTCTATAATTTTTGGAAAAGTTTTACTGATAAAAAAATTCATTTTTACCGAAAAAATTTATTTTTAACTACAATTTAAATTTTGTAAATACACTAAGCCGTAATTCAAGTTTTTTTTTTTTTTAGTTTAATCAAAACCTAAATTAAAATTGAATCAATGAATATTAATTTTAATTAATAATTTATATCGTTATTTTCTATACTGTATATTATTAAATATGTAATTTTGTTTTGGCATAATTAATAAATAAATGAATCTTTTTATTATTTTGTGAAAGAGATGATAAAATAAAATTTACATTGAAATTTACCTGAGGATAACGATTTATCCCATTGATACTATTGTGCGGGTGAGCGTAAGGCTGATACCCTCTTCCAGCACCTGGATAAATATTTCTCATCATCGCACCTTGACATGTAGGAATTGGTGCCAGGGCTTTTTGTAACTGTTTCTCTTGTTTTCGGTACTTGGCTCTTCTATTTTGGAACCATACCTGCAAGCCAAAAAAATTAGCTTATCATTACTGGGATAATAATATTTTATGTCTGAATTTTTTTATATAATTCTTTAAATTAATTTTGAAATCTTTAAGAAAATTTTACAACAAAATTAATTATTTGTAAAAATAAAAATTTGATTTACAAATTACAGAGTCGCTATTTTTAAAAATAAAAAATTACAATTTGAAATAACATTTTTATAAATTCAATTTTAAATATTAATAAATAAAAAAATTTTTTCCTTCGGAATTTTAACTTAAAAAAAAATGATTTTCTTCATTAAAAAAATTATGGCAGATAAATTTTCTAGTTATGTATTATTTTGTTGCCAAGAGAAACACCCCCGCAAAAAGAGAGGCAGTGCATAGCCATCACCCATCAGCATTATCATCCCCATCGCTTGTACACAATACAGGACCAGAGACGGATAAGAAAGCCCGCGGGTGTTATACCAGAGGCTGGTAGTTCCCCGAACGAGAGAGAAAAGCTCAGTTGCCGTGCGCTTATTGGACGATAGTAAACGCGTGACGTCATCCCGTGAGATCCCATTGGCGGGCACGTTTTATTGACATTTCTGGACGTAAACGCGCCCCCGAATAAAGCGCGAACCGCGAATTTAACATGGCGCAGTTAAGCGGAATATATTTTTAATTTCGGCTGAAAATTCTAAGTTGACAAGAGAAGAAGATTTTTTTTATGGAAAAATATGATAAAGTTTTTTTGTAAAAAACATCCACCTAAGAGACTTTTTTTCATTTGTAGTGTACTGAGAGACGCGTATCCTGAAAGAACTGAAAAGCTAAGAAGAGTTGGTAATTCAATAACCGTATCCACTCTCTTTCTCTTTACTCTCGAGCTACTTCTTGAGATACTGGGTGAGTTTTCAGCAGAAAAAAAGTACTGCTAAAATATATAAAGATATAGTACTTTTTTAAATGTTCTTTTAGTTTTTTTTTTTTTTTTTAAGAGCTTAACTCAGACCTTTTAGTTTTATTTTCTAATTTTTTTCTTTTTTAGCGTCTGCTGCTGTTGGATGCAGAAAGAAAACCATTTGGAAGCAAATTTCTTACACTGATGTTAAAATTAACTTAATTAAAAAGAAAAATCTTGAAACAAAAAAATTATTTGCAAAAGTTGGATCATTTTTTATGAAGAAAAAATTAAATTTATTTTTGAGAAAAATTATATTGATTCAAAAAAATTATTTTGAAGAATTAAGATGAAAAATAATTAAATTAAATAAAAAATTGTGAATAAATATCAAAATTTTTTAAATATAGTCTCATAAAGACAAATAAAATTTAAAAATTTTAATAAATTTGGAAAAGTTTATTTAAATAAAGCAAATTTAAAAAAAAAAATTTTTTTGGCTCTATAAAATTTTATTTCGTATAAAAAATTTTAGATTGCTTGAAGAAAATTGTCTCTTTGATGAAAACTCTCTCTTATTTTAGCAAATCTTGAAAACAATTTTGAAGAGCGTGATAATAGAAAAGTATGTGATGGAATTGAGAAAAAAGAAGAAATATAGCGGATAATAATAAATAAAATGGCCTTAGGCCGAGCCGGTGCGCGAGTGTGAGGGTGGATGGTAAAATTGAGATGAGAGTCAAGGGTAGGCGATGATGTACCGGAGGCTGCCATTATATCTGAGCTGCCATTTTAAATCGAATTTTATCCACCCTAGATAGATCTCTGAAATGTCTCGGCCTCGAGAGCTCAACAAGACGCGTAAAGGGAGATCTCTGTCTCAGGACTCGAGATTCTTCTCCAGTTTATCTTCCCCCGGCTCGTATCGAGCTCGCGATGGATACGCCACCCTCGAATAATCCAATCCGAGCAATTGAATACAGCGAATGGATGATGGAAAAAAGAACCAGTAGGTGTACATCTAATTGCACGGATGATCATCGGACTAAAGATTTACAGTGAGTAAAAATTTCGGACAAAATGCCAAGAGAAGAAATAAAATCTTGAGATTAAATCTTAATTATTGTGTAATTGTTGAAAGAAAAAATTTTTTTTACAATTGTGAAGATTATTTCTGAAGAGATAAGCTACAAAGTAAAAATTAATGACTTTTTTTAAACTATCAAAACAAGATCTAGCATTTCTAAAAGATAAAATTCTTAAAAAAGATATAATTTTGAAAAAATGGAGTTTTAATTGTTGTCTGACATTTTTTTCATTCATTAATGCTTAAAGAAAGCCAGAAATTAAGTATTGTCGGTACTTAATATAATTATATGTATAATACTCGATACTTATAAAGTTCTAAGTATCTATAGTGTTTACAAAAATTTTTCTTCTTCTTTATTACAGATTTCATTAAAGTTATTTTGTTAATTGTTAAATTATTCAGAAAAGCTGAATAATTATTCATTTTAATGGATGATTAATGTGCATAAAATTTAAATATTGATATTATAATAATTGGAAAGTGTAAGCTCAAACTAAGATCTGTGCATGGTAGTGATAAAATTCAATAATAATGCTCCCGTCGGAAGTTTCCGAAAAAATGAAAGAAGAATATTATTTTCCTCAAACATTTTAGAATTTTCTAACATCAGCAAATATAATTTTTAGGTTAATCCGAATTAATTTTTAAAAAACGAATAGAATAATTGATCAGGATAATTTGGTTAGCCGAGCTCCAGTTAAACAGAAAGTTTTAAAAAAAATACTTAACCGCGCTGAGTGAATAATTTTTGAATCACCGCACAAGAAATCTCATTATAACACGGAAAAAGTATGAAGAAAAAAAACTGAGATCCGGTAGTCCCGCAATGATATCAAATTAGTCGAGTTTTCATTTGAACTTGCCAATCTCAAGCTCTCAATCTCTATTTTCTCTCGCCTTTTATTTTTACCTTTCATTTAATGACACAGTTCAAACGTTATTCTATTAATTCCACTGATATATTCATATTATCAGGCTGCTTTTACTTCGATCTATTTTACGTTTCGTCTCTTTTACTTTTCAAGTATTATATCAAAAGGAGACATGTTACAATTGCCGTTATTACAAATTTATCAGATTTTAATTAAAACGTATAAAAACACCCGATCATATTTTTTTTCTGTCTAAAAAAATTAATTTTTTAAAATATATATAATACATATTAAATATTTTTTACAATCAAAAATAAAGATCAAGAACATATTGTCTTGCTAATTAATAAAAAAAAAAACACTCAAAATTAGCCGAAATCTGAAATTTTAATAATTTTTCTTATTGAAAAAATTATTGCAATATAAGAAAAAGTTCTAAAAGTTTTTTTTAGAAAAAATTAACATTGCCAGTCTTTTTGAATGATTTTTTCTGACGAAGGTGGTACACAGTGTGAAAAATTTAACATTTATTCTTTTAAATCAACACAAAAAAATGTTAAATAATTAACATAAAAATTTTTTACTGTGAAGTAAATAATTTTATCTTTTTGATTGGAGAAAAATTCATAAACTAAGAAAATTTTATTGGATTAAATAAATTTCAATATAATAAAAATGATTTTCTTAGTTAAATAATTTTTCTCTTGAATCAAGTTAATTTTTTCCGTGTATGTTTTCATATAAATAGAAGCAGAAGAAGATTTAAAAGTGAAGAAAAATTTTTAAATGCCGACGCAGAGGGACAGAAGAATATTAAAAATCTGGCATAGGTACACATAATAATAACGATGATAATAAATAGGAAATAGCTCGACGAAGTGCGGAAGTGATGCTTTGTGCATAACTTATATAGGCAGTAGTGGGTGCATCAGTAAAAGCAAACCGCGTTTTACTTGGCATCGCAGTTTAACAGGGTTAAATCACGGCGGTTCTCGGGCTTTTAACGCAAACAACACCCGTGCATTATATATCAAAAGCGGGAACTGCTTTAATATGTACCTCCAACCGCCTCGTCGACGGAGTTTTGTCAATTTCTCATCCGCGTATTACTGCTACTGGAAAATAGGAAGCGCGGGTTGAGCTTTAGCTATACAGGACTGCCTCCACGCCGACCATTAAATTATTTTGAATGATGCCCATTTCTCTTTGAGATCCCATTTAACATTTACCTGTTTTTTTAATATTTTATAAGAGCCCTTAAGCTCATTCTACTCTTTACCGGATTCAATTATTTTCCAGGCTTTTTCGCGGCTTGATGTTTCTTTTTTATATTTAAAAAAAAAAAAAAATAAAAAAATACAATAGAAATAGAAATGGAAGAGCGAGGAGAGATATTGGTGAGTATGAGGGAAAAGTGTCTCATCAGATGTGCAGAAATAGAAACAGAGAAAGAGGGGAGAGTTGCAATGGGAATATATCCAAGCGGAGATATATCTTGAATCGACATTTGCGCTGGTAATTCAATTTAAGCGCCCCTGCACACTCGCGTCTTTCATTCAATTACGCGAAATGAGTCACACTGTGCGCTCGCGAGACCCACTGTAAGACACAAGGACAAAGAGCACTCTGCACTGTCACTGAGTTTCCAATTTTCAAAAGGTCCTTTTTTGTTTATTGACTGCTTAAAAAGTTTTAAGTTACTCGGTACTTTTTTTTTTAAATTATTGTGTTGCTTTCAAGAAGTTTTACTTGAGTGAAAAAATTGAAATTTTTTCTTCAGAAGATCATTTTGATAAATTTAATTATCTTTTATCGAGAAGTTTTTTATCTAAAAAATTTTTGATGGTTTGAGTGAAGAATTTTTAAGATTAGAAAATTCTTTAAAACTATTTTTTTTAGTTAAGATTTTAATCAAATTTTTTAATTGTAAAAAAATTTAGATAAAAGAAATACTTTTAAGTCAAAAAAATCATTTTAAAGAATTTTATTAAAAATATTTTAAAGAATTTTATTAATTCTTTAGAGCTTAAGCTCTTGAATTAAGAATTTTTGGTAATTTAAATTATTTTTAGTTGATTTAAGAATTATTCTGCTTACATCGACAGTAAAATTCTTTTCTTGATCAAACGTTTTATTTTTTTTAATCAAATTAATTTTTTAATCAGTGGAGAAAAAATTTACATGGAAAAAATAATTTTTGTCGGTTTTTTCTGTGGGCTAATAAAAAAAAATTAACTTTGATAAAAAAAAAAAAGTATTTTTGAGTCTATAAAATCATATTAAAAAATTTTTTAACTTGAATCAAGAAGAAAAAATTTTCAATAAGGAAATTTTTATTAATTTAAATAAATTTTACTTAATTTAAGAATTTTATTACTTAATCAAGACAGAAAATTTCTAGAGCCAAAAAAAAACAATTATTTAAATTCTTAACTAAAAAATTTATAAAAAAGAATTGATATTTTACGTTAGTTTAATTATTAAAACTTTTTATAATTATAATGATATTTTTTCTCAATAATTAATTACAATATTGCGAAAAATTCTTAATTTTCAATTTTATCAATATTTTGCACCGAGAGTATTAAAATGTATGTGAAGTAATATACAACCGAAATTTCTCTAATAAAATATAATTGTACTTAAGTGAAGAAACAACCCAAAGCTTGAATAATTTCAGGATTAACTTAAATTGCAAATTAAAACGACCAAAATTTGATGTAAAAATAAAAATGTTGATTGCAAATATAAGTAATTGAAAGGATGATATGATGATAAATAATAAACAAATATATATTATATGTACATATATTCGGAATGATGAGAGTTAAATGGAATGTTATAGGATAGTTGGATACTCTACTCACCTGGATTCTAGCCTCGTTCAATTTGGTGCTCCTCGCTAATTCCTCTCTGCAGTATATGTCTGGATAATGGGATTTCGCGAACGCCGATTCCAATTCCGCCAGCTGCTCCTGCGAAACAATTGGAAACCGTATTTGAAGGCACGTCGCTTTAACATCACATCCACAATCCACATCTATCCACACATTCACACACACTCATCCACACCTACGGAAAAATCTAACTCAATGTCTGCATCACGTACACGTTAATCATGTAATCAACAGCGAGGAATGTAAAATAAAATCTGCGTTAATTTATTCCTGTTTAATTTACATCCTCATTAACATTAACTTATAACTTTGATAACTACAGCTCAACCCAATCCAGTAATTATTAAATTCAATCTCATCCATTTTTTTTTTGAAAAATTAATTTTCAATTTTTTAAAATAATTCATTTTAAAAAAAATAATTAATAAAAAATTAATGTTAAAATTTATTTAAAAAATTCATGATTTTCGGCAAGTTCCTACTAAATATAAAAAAAAAATCATTTAATCCCTATCAATAAATTACAAAATTGAGTTCATAGCTGTACTAATCAAAGTTGTAATTAAAAACCTCCCCAATTTTACGATAAATAAAATTTAAAAATTAAAAATAATTACCTGGGTGAAAGTTGTCCTGTGTCGTCTTCTAGCCGGCGTAGGACAGCTTGCTGTGGTTGGTGTGTGACCGATATGTGGACTGGAGGCACAGGGCTCGGGTTTCAATTTTTTGAAAGCACCCTCTGCACCTGCAAACACCGCGTAACCTCAACAACCACATTTTATTAATTAATATTATTAAAAATATCATCATCATCATCATCATCATCATCATCATCATTAAAAAAATTTATTTATTTTTTCTCATTAAATATTTCGCGGCTCAAAAGTAAAAGTTTATTTAAATCTTAAAATAAAAATGTATTATTCAAGAGGCCGGAGGTCGGAGGTCGGACATCGGACTCTTGAAGGAACGGAAGTAGCTGGGAGCGAATCTGCATGTCATCAGGTTGACGGCGCAGAAGGAGGAGGCGATAAAGAGTGGGCGAGAGATAGACAAAGATAGAGATAGAGGTGCCGAGCAACCAGCCAAGCAAGTCCCTCGCACTGTACTCTAACTTGGTTAGGGCGTTAATGACCTAATCATGTTACATGCTGATTCAATGTTCGAGGATGAATGCTGTCCACTTTACGCGCCTTGCCCCCGTTTACCCCATTCAAACATTCCGGAGCAGAAACTCGGTCAAGTTCACCTGACTACACAGAAAGAAAAATTTCTTCACTGGAGAACAAAATTCTTGGCTCAAGAAAATTTTTTGGAGCAAGATACGTATTTCTTAAAGCAAGAGAATTAATTTTATTGGAATAAGTGAAATTTGTGTCAAAAAAAATTTTTTTCCAGTCTTATTATTCACTTATCGAGGTATGGAGTCGGTTCTCCAGTCCGGAGGCGATGGTAATGATGATGATGTGATGATAATGACGGCGATGATAATAATAATCGATATTATTGTATGTATTTGTATGTAGATGGGATGTTAAGTGCGATTTTAGTCGGGGGACCACCGATACTCGACACCGCGGGTCGCCCACGGCAACAAGACCATCTGTCATTTTTATAACATCCGTCATTACTGTCGCAGCAAAGGGAATAATTCGAACTACGGAGTAATAAGCCTAACATTTGACACTAATAGTCAGTCGGTACTTTGCTTTCAGCTTTTGTTAAAGGATTTTATGTTTGGAAAGAATTATAAATAGTTCTTCTAGTTTTATTTCTTTGTTTAATTGATAGGAAAATCTTGAAAATAAATTTATCATGAAAATACTCTAGAAAAAAAAATTTTAATTAAAGAGAAATTTTGTTTTTAATTTAAACTTTATTTTACTTTCTTAAATATTTTTTTTTTTTTTGTTACAATAAAAATAATGAAATTCTTTAGAATAATTTTTTAGGTTCAAGAATTTTTCTCGAGATTGTGACGCGCCTCTATATTTTATATAAAATTATTATTGAAAGAGATGGCGAAAGACGCCGAGACAAGCGATAGTAGTAGGGGTAGCAACCTGGGAAGTCCCGTAACATAGTTCCCACGCGCGCCGTGAGGCAGCGCAGAGTCGCTCAGACTGTTCGTCTGAAGACTATTGCTTTTAAGTTCTTAAAACCAATTTTCTGATCAGTTTTTGCTAGATGTTCAGATTAATTTTGATGAAATTAAATAATAAATAAGTTATCCGACCATTTTTTTTAATTTTTTAATTTTTAGTTTTTTAATTTTGCTTCTTTTATTAAATTAGAATTTATAAGGATTAATATAATTATATGGATTTTGTGCTTTTCTTATTGGAATTTGCAAAGTTTATCAGAGACTCAAAATTAAATACAGGTGCTGATACTCAGAGTATCATTGATTATGCAATGAGTATCTGCAAAAAATATAATGTAAAAAACCACCTAGTTTATTTAAGGATAAAAGAGCTTGTTTCTGAAGATGAGTTACAGGAGATTTTTCCTAGTTATGCTGGTTATGATGCTATGTTTGTGGTTCCTGATGCTGGAGAAGAGATTGTCGGTAAAAAAATGACAATCAAGGGTGATATATGTACACCTGTCAGAGAAGAGGATAGAACTCTCGTTAGAATAACTCCGCCAGGTACAACATTCAGCAATGTAATCATTAATGACAAACGAAGCGACGAAAAAGGAACATGTTCCTAAGAAATTTTTTAAATACCGGGTATTTGAATTGAGTTAGAAAAGAAGACCATTTCTAAAACCAAGAAAACTCTAAATATAAGGTTAATTAATTTATTCAAACCTAAAAGACAAAAGAAAAAAACTGTTCTGACGAAAACATCAGAAAATTTCTTTTAATAACTTAGAAGCAATAGTCTTCGGACGAACAGTCTGAGCGACACCGCGCTGCCTCACGGCGCGCGCGGGAACTATGTTACGGGACTTGCCAGGCTGCTTCCCCTACTACTATCGCTTGTCTCGGCGTCTTTCGCCGTCTCTTTTCTCTCTTTCTTTTCGCTCGCATAAATACTTTTTGTCAATCTTTTCTTATTCTATTTAATCTTAATTTCTCATTTTAAATTTAATAATTAATGATAATTTTATGTAAATTTATATAAAATATAGAGGCGCGTCGCAACTGAATTCAAAAAGGTAAAATTTTTTTTATTCATGTACAAGTATGTAATTGAATAGAAAATTTATTTGTTTTATTATATAGTAAATAATTATTAAATATTTAAAATTAAAATAAAATAAAATTATAATAAAATGTTAGTAATTAATTGAAAATTTTTATATTTTTAAAATTAATCTTTTTTTAATAAATTTGCTGGGCGATTGAATAAGAATATCAATTCAATTTGTGTTATCTAATCAAATCATAATAATTATAGTAAGTTATCATTTTTTTTTTTCTGTATCTATTGTAAATAATTGATCGTACTCATGTTATGAATTTGTGTGGACACTAATTGTCTGGAATATTAGAATATCTAGTTAATAATTGTGATTGATTATTATTATTATTATTATTATTATTTAAACGAATGGTTACAATGTCGGCTAACTTAATTTTCAATAAAAACAAGTGAAATATTTTTTATTAATTATAATTATGACACCTTGACATTCCACTGACTACTTGAAGAATAAAGTACTAAGAGGTGTAATTGTAAATAGATATTGTAAATAGTAAATAGATTCTTAAATGACTCGCGTGACAATGAGATTGATGACAATTCCATCTGTATGAATAGTAATAGCAACAGTAAATAATAATAGCGTACTAGCTGGGGAGTACTAGTTAAAAAAAGCCCCTTTCAATGAGCGAGAGACCATCACCGAACAATACTCGACAACAGGTAGAACCATATGTCGGTCTCGCGGGCCCATTGTTCGGTCTCGAGTTTACACCCCCCGTGTTGCCGCAACAAGACTACCGTCACTTGCCGACTCAACGACCGTGAAATTTCCCCATCATCTCGAGTACCCGTTGTGCATTTTTATAAATATATATACTTATCTAGGTGATAAGTACTTTGTGATTGGTTTTTTAGCAGAAGATTATTCAAAAATATAAATTATTTGGGAGTTTTTAAAAATTAATTGTAGAGTGCAAAAAAATATTTTAATATCTTTTGTAATAACTTGAAAAAATTATAAATTGTACAAAAAAATTTCTAGAGAATTAAAAACATAACTTTTTAGTAGTAAGAAGTATCAATAGTCAGACTTTCAATCACAATTTTTTATTTTAGGAATTTTTTTGTGAAATAATAAAATTAAAATTATTTTTGTAACTGCGATTTTAAATTATTATTTGAAGTAAAAAGTTGAAATAGTAAAACTAATTATTTACAAGTTTTAAGTTGGGCAAAAAATACTTTTATCAATGTAATTGACTGTTTATGATAATATTAGTATTTTTTTATAAAAAAATTAATAATTTAAAATGGTTATTTGTATTAATAAATAATAAATTTTAAAGTGAATTGTAATCTTAAAGCTAAGTTAAAAAATTTGATGTTTAATGACTGAAACTTGAAGATTGAGAAGAAAAGTTTTGGAATAAATTAAAAAAATTGTATTTTAAGTAGTAAAAAGTATCAATAGTAAGACCGTCATGTTTATTTTGCACAAAAAATTTGAATTAAAAAAAAAAATAAAGTTTTTGTCAATGAAGCAAAGTTAAAAATTCTAAAGATAATATTTTCCACTCGCTGATTTTATAAAAATAAATTATTTATCTTGATAAATTTTAATTCAAATAATTTTTTTGTTCTTACAAAAGTAACTTTGCAATTTTGAAGCTAACTTAAGAAATTTGCTGTTGAATGACTGAAAATTGAAGATCAAGAAGAAAAGTTTGGGAATAAATTATAAAAATAGTATTTTAAGTAGTAAAAAGTATCAATAGTAAGACCTGCATGTATTTCTTCTTTATTTTGTATTAAAAAAATTAAATTTAATAAAGTGAGAAGTTTATAATAATAAAATAAAGAGAAGAATTGTAAAGATGATATTTTCCGCCGGTATTTTTTATAATAACAATTAAAATTATCACCCCGATGGAAAAAACACAAAAATCCTTGACTTTACTTTACTCTCCTCAATTAATCGAATAAATTTTTAAAAGCTTAAACCAACTAATAAAAAAAACGGAAAAGTGTCTCACCAACACTAGTAGCATTCCCGACGCTATTCCTCCCCGGAGTAGCCGCCGGCGTGGGAGGACTGGCCTCAAGCCCTTGATGGACTCCGTAAAGCCCAAAGTCCTGTTCGTTAGAGCTGGCACTGCTGCACTTTCTCTTCTCCTGATTATGATTAATGTGAAAAGTGTCATTCTCGACGAGGCCGACCCCCAGGAGTCCCAAGTTCGGCCTGAGCTCGTCCATGAGCTTGTTCTGGCTGCAGTTTGCCGCGGCGGCCGAGAAGTTTAGTTGCCGACTAAATATCGCCGGAAAAATGTTGAATTGCTGATGGTCCAAACTAAGCGCGGTGGTTGGCAAAGAACCGCCTACGCCTACAGAGGTCCCGCCGACGGACCCACCGCCGTTTCCACCGGATAGGTCGTTAGCCAGGATGATGCCGTTGTGACCCTGGAAGAGGTCCCTGCTGAATAATCTACAGACTTTTGGGAAGCCACTTCTTTTTCTTCTTCTTCTTCTTCTTCTTCAGAAGAAACTAATCAGCTGCTCTACAAACTGGACATAGTTCTATCACAATTTTTATTAATTATTAATTATTGTTTCTTCTTCACAAAAATTTTTTTTTAATATCTTTAAACAATTATTATCAATATTAATTATTATTATTATTATTGTTTCTTCATAAAAATTATCAAGTAATTTTTTTTAAAATGTCTCCACAATTTTAAGTAATATTAATTATTTCTTCTTTAAAAAAATTTTTAATTAATTAATTAAAAAAGTGTCTTTACAATTTTTTTTTAAATGTTCACAATTTTCATTAATATTAAATATTATTATTATTTCTTCTTCCAAAATTTTCAGATTATTTAAAAAAAAAATGTCCACAATTACAATTAATGTATCTTTTTAATCAACAGTCACTCACAAAAAATCTAAAGTACGAATAATAAACCTAACTATTCCAAATATTTATTCAATCGCACAACCATCATCACTAAACACCAATTACATATCTTGGTACTTAATCCATTGTTTAACTTCAATCCAATAAAGAAAAACTCCAAGTAAAATTCAAAGTCGACAAGTGACCGTAAAAATGGTCATTAAAATTGAATCCCTATGATTAAATTGAGACGGCGCCTCAGTCGGTCAGAAAGGGGTGCAAGTAAGAGCGACGTCCTTGAAAATTCAAATATCTTAATAATTGGCGGGAGTTTGAGGTAACCAATTGAATTAAATTATTTATTATAATAATAATTATTATTATTATTATTATTGTCATCAGACAAGAGTGTCTCAGAACCGCGCACTTGGCCTCGAAATTGCCGAAGAAAAGTTAAACCGCGAACAAAAAAACAATTGGAACGAACTAGCGTACTGTAAGTGTGTTAATACCAAGTTTTTGGAGATCCGAGGATAAACAGAGGGATGACCGGAGACGGGGACACCACTCGCCGTGAGTTCTTGTGGGATTCTGTCCGCGAAATGTAGTTATCCCGCACAGGATGTCGGGGGATGCGCGTCGAACCAGGGGGTGGGAGCTGCTCAGTACGGTACCGACCCCTGGAACTGCCGTCAATCCACCCTCGGCCTCACTGGTTGCTCCGTGGGAACCGTTGCCATGGAAATGCCCAATAGAACGTCAAGAAGAGCCAGTGCTTTATCCCGGCTCTCAATATGGCGGTCGTCCAATGAAAATTCCTCTGGAAAATAGCCTGCGAGCGATTTTCTTCTCTGCCCATCCTCTATCATTTTTTTGTCTTGCCATTTCGTTATTTTTTTTCGTTATTTTCTCCACTTTTTTACCTTTTTCACTTTTATTTATTTACTTTTTATGCTTTAGGTACTCGGAGCCTTTTTTTGCCCCGGTAACTTTTTTTTCTTCGACGTCCTCACGATGATCTACTAGTTTTTTCGCGGAGCAACAAGAAAAAGCTCGATAGAAAATAAAATAAAAAAAAAATAGTTGATTTTTTTTAAGAACTTTTATTTTTATTTTATTTATCCATTTATCATGCATTCGATGGATACTGAATGTTTTTTTTGCGGAGTTAATTTTATGCCGGAAAATAAAAGACGGGTCAGGAGTTACGTGGGAAAGGAGCGAGATAAGAAGCGATAATTTATACTTTTATTTTTTTTAGCCTCTGATGGATCAAGAGTACAGATCGGCGTGTATAGTTATTTTTTTTTTTTGTAAGGAATTGCACTTATTTTTTACTGATGAAAGTCCAATTAAATTTGTGCTAGTAGTAAAAGTCTTCCGGTTTTATTTTCGACTTAACTTGCGACAATAAAAGTCTACAAGGTGAGAAGTATATATAATTTATAGTTGTGTCAATTGTATTATATTACCAATGAAAGTAATTTGGATCTATTGAAATTTAGTAAAAACAGAACGCCCATCGACACGCGTACTTCCACGCTGTAATTTTCAGGACAATGTACAAATGGTATTGAATAAAAAAACACGGCCAATTGTAAAACCAAAAGTGTACGATTGAGGTTTTATTGTCTGAAGTTTTTTGTTTGATATTCGAGGCTTTTATTTGAAGATTATAAAAAAAATTTATTGCACAAATTATTGTATTAAAAAAATTGAAAAAAAATTTACAATCTTTTAAGAAATTTTTAATTTGAAAAAAATAAGTTTTTTTTTTATTTTAAAAATAATAAAAAGTAAATTTTTTTAAGAAAAATTAAAAATCTATTAAAAAAAATATCAAATTGCAATTTTTTCTTTTTTATCAATTTTTTTAACGAAAAGTCAAAAACAAATTACAATCAAAATTTTAAATTTTAAAGACAATTTTGTTAAAAATAAATTACAATAAAAATTTAAGATTTGAAAGATAATTTCGTTAGAAATAATTTGTTTCAATTGAATTTTTTGCTTTAAAATTTACAAACTATTTCCATTAATCTTTGAAGAATTTAAAGTACGTATAAAAAAAAAATCAGTGCAACGATGATGTTAAAGATTCGAAAGATGTTATCACAAAATAATGATTGCAAAGTTAATTTAGAGACATTATAATAACGTAACTTTATAACAAGAATTGATATTCATGGACTTGATGTTATTTATAGACAAGTCTAGTGGTTGTAAGTACTAAAAAAAAGTCTTGAATCTAAAATCTATAATCTTGGATTTTTATCTCAATCTCCCTGACTTGAAGTGAAAGTATAAAAATATCAATAAATAAGTACCCGTCTATGTTTATTAATGCACCGACTAAAGATTGTAAAAGATATGAACGAGGGTAGATTAATAGATTAGATGAAAGTGCCATGCAGGATAAAAGGTCACATATTGCCGTTCAATCCTTTAATACAAATTCGAGGTTGACTTGTTGATGAAATCCTGGATTTACCTGCAAGTAATGGAGTTTTTTCAAGGTATACATTGACAAAAATAAAAAATAAAATGATACGTATTTATAGAGCACAATAGATTGAGTAAGTATTCCAGATGAATATGAGTAAAGCATAAACTCGTGTGGCGAATGTGACATTTGGAGAGATTTGGACCACGCCCCACCGATATGGCACCCCCGCCGTCGAAAATACCGAGTCCATTGGGTGAACTCTATACCTCTGTACTCTGTACTCTGCTAACATCTCTCTCCGACACACATGTTCCCAAATAAACCCCTGGGTTATGTGTACCGTGTGCATCGATATATACTACGTCGAAATTTACGAACAGCTTTGATCTGCGTACTATCCAAGGATGCAAATCCAATCCAACTTTTATCATTTAATTTCATATTGCTTTATTGATCTTTATCTGCAATTTTTTTTTTAATTTTAATTTCAGTAAAAATTGTTTAGAATTTTTAGTTTTTTAATTTCCAGCGTTTATAGAAGCTTGGGTCTAAAAGTCAAGGGTCAATTTTTACTTTGTTAATTTATTTTGTAAAAATATAAAATATTTTTACTGAAATTTAAAAATAATTTTTATTCATTTAAAAATTAATTTTTTTCATTTAATAAAGAGCTAAGAAGAATTATTTTATTTTTAATGATGCAATTATTAGATGTTTGCTTTAAAAAATTTTATAGTAATTAAAAAGTTAATTTTTATTTTATTTAATAAATTAATTTTTTTTTTAATATTTTTAATTAATTAAAAAATTTTATAACAAAAAAAAATTAAAATTGGGATTTTAATTAAGAGAAAAAAAGTTTAAAAAATTATTTGTAAATTGTATTTAAAATTTAAAAAGATGTAATAAAAATAACAATTGATTTTGTTGGCTAAATAAATGAATAGTCTCTTTAGATTATAAAAAAAGTGATTGTTCAAGTTGATGTTTCGACAAGTGCGGTTTTATTGAAGACACGTGCCATGAAATCAATTGGCCAACACGTGTCTATAGTAGATTATTATTGTCAGTATAATTCGATATAATAACGCCTATTTTACAATTTTATTTACAGCATTTAGCCGATTGTTTTTATGCGACACAGCTAATTGATCCTCGCCGGCAGAACCAAAAAAAATTAATTGTAATATTGACAAATAAAACTAAAATAAGTGATTCGGAAAATAAAAAAGTAACTTTGAATTGTTAGTTTGAAGAATGGACGGTTGTATTATGTCTTGTTTTTATTTTTATTTTTTTTTTCTTATCCGAGAGAGTCTCTCTACTCTGGTAAAACTAAGAGAGCTCTACTCGGTAAAAGCTCTCGGAAGAAAATAAGGACCAGGATAGAGAAAGACCCGGATAAAGAGAAAGAGAAAGAGGGTATAAGAGAAAGTACGAAAGTACTACACTACTCACGGGGCGGAAGCGTCACGTACTGCTCTGAAACAAAAACGTAGCGACGTCAAATGCAATTACGAGAGCTGCGAGAGCTCTAGAACGCGGATGCTGCGCTAGGTTAGATGGGGGCCAGGGGAACCGGGGCCGAAGAGGGCGAACCACCCGGTTCAGCGAGCGAGGAGTCGGCTGATAGTTCTATATACCCTGTACTGTATAGCACTGTACGAGATACGAAATACGAACGAGGTACAAACGTTGAACATAGTCTACCCTGGCACCGTGTGTGTGCTTCTCTGGTGATGGTGTGCTGCTGGTGCCAGCACGATAACAGAGACACCGGGAAAATTTTGCGAAAATACTGAATAGAGAGCCAGCAACACACAACATGTACATGGGTATTAACTTTATGTTTCTGCAGTTATTTAATTTTTTAGCTTTTTTTACCCTCTGGATATCCAAATTATACATTTTACCTCAAATACTAAATTTTTATTATTATTTATTTATTTTCATTTTTGTAATAATAATTATTATTAAGAGAATGAGGATAGTCATGTGATAAAATCGGTTTTTTTGTGAAATTTAGTGTCATTGCAAAGGTCTTGACATGAATTTGTGCCTTTTAAAGATTTCATATCATTCTTACCAATAGTAAATTTATTATGATAAGTATTTAGGCTGCATTCGAAAATTCTCTATTTCTAGATACATAAATAAGAAATGACCTTGTATCTTGTGAAATATTGACATTTTTAAAGATATAAGCTCATCCTGATGTTACACTCATCAAG